GTGGAAGTGGTTGAATATGACATACAGTGGGGTCATGGTAATTTGAAGAGAGAAGTCAACTGCCGGTTAATAGATTATTTTTGTCGTTTGAGTATACGTTGACCAGAGTGTGCAATGTGTTTTCAAGCGCAGCTAGATCATCTACCTTCTAGCCACAGCGGCCTTGTAGTCTCAATAACCCCTTTATTTTGATTGACGACAAGAACCGTCGTGATACAAGCTATTCTCCTTCATAATTCAAACAAATGTCAGTCAGCACGTATGTTAATGTAAAAGGTGACTTAATCTTGTCAATGACGCGTGGTTTGTATGAACACACCAAACACATTTGGAATAGACCGGACGATGTCTTTCCACACAAAGAAGGCCTTAATCAGGAGAGAATTCAAGACCTCAAGGTGCAAAGAACTTAATCAGAAAAGAATTCCCGACCTCAATAATGAAGGCCTTAATCAGGAGAGAATTCCAGACCAAGTGGCACTCTCCGAATAGAGGAGAAATAGTGGACAGTGGCACTCTCCGACATACCCGGCTGGCGAGAATCGAAGCCGTTGCTGAGTTTAGACTACGTATCGGACAGTCCACACAATGAAGGCCTTAATCAGGAGAGAATTCATGTTACCAACGAACTCAAAGCTCGAACAAAGGAGAAACAGTGGACAGTGGAAACAAAGGGGAAACAGTGGACAGTGGCACTCTCCGACATAGAGGAGAAATAGTGGACAGTGGCACTCTCCGACATACCCGGCGGCGAGAATCGAAGCCGTTGCTGAGTTTAGACTACGTATCGGACAGAGCCGTTGCTTTTAGACTACGTACCGGACACAATTGCCCCGTTGATGAGTTTAGACTACGTACCGAACACGATTGCCTATCAAAACACCTTCACAGATTGGGAGTATACACTCAACTCACATGTACACCTTCACAGATTGGGAGTATACACTCAACCCACATGGACCTTCACAGATTGGGAGTATACACTCAACCCACATGCCCCCTTCACAGATTGGGAGTATACACTCAACCCATATGCCCTTTCACAGACTGGGAGTATACACTCAACCCACATGCCCTCTGCACAGATTCGTACCGGACACGATTGCTTGACAAAACACCTTCACAGATAGCCGTTGATGAGTTTAGACTACGTACCGAACACGATTGCCTATAAACACCTTCACAGATTGGGAGTATACACTCAACTCACATGTACACCTTCACAGATTGGGAGTATACACTCAACCCACATGGACCTTCACAGATTGGGAGTATACACTCAACCCACATGCCCCCTTCACAGATTGGGAGTATACACTCAACCCACATGTCCCTATGTAACCTACAGGAGGAAATGGAGAAGACCCACCAGATTCGGTGTCCGGCCCTAAAGACAACGACGAAAACCCAGAGATATTGGGAAGCAAGAAGACAGCTAATGAACTGCTATATATGTACCCCCCCCCCCCACCCATGGGGGGAAGCTAAAGTCAAAGGTTAAGGGCGAATGATAAATATCATAAAGCCTGCCATTTGGAAAAATAACATTTGGAATGAATAACTTATGCTATTCTTAAAAATCTTTATCTTGAACTCTCGGTCTATAAGATTAGTTGCATCTTGGGATATTACCTTTCAATAGCATAATGACTGCGGTTCATGAATATGCGGCCGGTTAATCTTTAGTTAATTAGTATTAAGCCTTGGCAAAGACAAAACCTAGTAATATTTCATTCAAATCAAACAAATACATTTTCGAACCAAACATCCATTCAACCTAAAATCATAACAACTAGGAACGGCACGCGCAGACTTGAAATAGTATTAAGCAAAAAATGTTAATATTGAAGTAAACTGCCTTTGAGGATAAAACTACTTGCATCCAGTTGGTATTTTAATAAAGCACTCATACAAGGATTTGAGGCATTTTGGCAATGCATTGTGCCAATAAAAGCAAATCAAGTATCCCTCACTGCCCATCTCAATTCCCAAAATACACCAAGGAGAGGAGGGGGGGGGGAGTGAGTGAGAGAGACAGAAGGAGGGAGGGGAATTTCACCAAGTGTAAAAATAAAGCCACCTAAACAAGGGAAGAACAAGAGAGTAGTAGTAAGTCAAGCAGAGAACGCCATGGAGAACCAAAAGGGTGATTAGAGTTGAAACACACACATACACACACACACACACACACGGAGAAGCAAGTCACAATGGCATTAAAAGACATGAAATTACATTGAAAAGCATTCATTATGAGTGAGTCAATAAGGTCTAAGAAGAGAATGAGCTGTTGGCTCCAGGTATACATTATAATGCATTTTCAGTTCCCGAGTAGTTGATATTCGTAGTTAATAGAGCATGAAAGTAGAGTAGAGAGCCAAATAGAGTTGACATTATGAAATAACTTGCTCATAAACACAAAATATGCCATTTTATTTGATCTGGGTGAAAAATAATGATACGTGGGAAGAAGCCATACATAACCTGACTGACTGGACAAAAAACGTTTGATCAGTCATGCAAATCTTACCCTAGGCATAGCAGAATATCTCTGATTAAGAATTTCGGCATTAACTGGTAAAATTAATTAAAATATTACCACCACTTATCAACCCTATAATTCGGAATATGTAGGTGGCTTCACAAGGCAATTCATTTAAATCGGGCCAATTTGGTCTAAAATCTTGAAGTACTAAAATAAATTAAGCAATATATGCTACAATAATCTCCTGTCCCACACAACTCCACCATTAACTAAAACTAATTATGACCCGAGGCAAAAGAGGTTACTTGGGAACATGGGAAATATTTTTAAATGGTAGGAAATAGAGAATATTACTAATGGAAATAAACTGAACACTCAATAGTTCACAACAAGTATCTCAAGTGGTCAACGGTAGCTTCTATTCACAACTCAGCACATCTCAAAATGTTCTACAAAACTTTTTTACAATTCATTCGATATTCTATCGAAAACAACATTCCGCAGGACCGTGATTGACTAGTGGCAACTAACGAATGAATAGCACGTAGTTCAAAACAATCACAGCGGGACATCACATGACTCCGCTCAAGATCCCAATATCGCTTTTGGGATACAGGACTTCTTTAGCTTCAAAGCAGATATATTTTGACCTTCATTGTCTTCTACCCTACGTAAAGGACATGCGGAAAACCGTAAACGCCTTACAGATTATTCGAGTAGATTTGCATAAAACAGAAAATAATAGGCTAACGATCATACACCAAACCCTAAATCTACGCTAACCGACTTTAGACACATTGAAATGCAGACGTACAGTAGTAATCTCTCTGAGATAGTGTTCCATCACTAGGATTATTAATCAGATTTACTTCCTTTAAAAACACTCACTTTTTGGAGCAGGAATCCCAGTAACCAAAGGACCAGAGGGAAGTTGAAATCCCCCTGGAACTATAATCGAACCTTGCAATGCTGAAACCGGCAAACGCACCTCGTAGGTAACCGTGCACAGCAATGTGTTGGCACCCATCTCCTTCAAGTCATGCTGAATGACAGCGTTGAAGTTCTCCTGCGGCCGAAGTCGACATCCCTCAGCAGCGGTCCACCCACTTGCACCTCCACCTTCAACAACGGTAGGTAATTGGCCTGCTGAGGACCCACGGATAGCCAAAGGAGTGTGTTCACGAGTGCCTTGTACGGCGGCCTGTGTGAATTAAGACAAGCGTCAAGTATAAGATATTGAGGATCTCATACAGTAAGTCCTAAGTGACCGCTTGAAGTAGCAGACACACCCCACTGTTTAAATCTTATTTATCTCAAAATATTGGACTTATTGGATGTCTTAAAAACAGGTCAACTAGCTGACGCAAAAAGCTCAAAACACAGACGATTCTCCTTGTTCCTACCGGTTGATGTCCCAAGGATTCTGGGATGACCTTTCCCTATCCCATGATTCACGCTTAGTAGTTCTATACTGTGGCCACACCAGTTCGCGATAAAAGGCTCTAAATACCACAAAGAGTGTTTATAGATCACGATGAATCTGCCACATTGGTTCATGGTATAAACAATGAAAACAGAGGTTAAAATGTGAAGAAAAAGTATCCGCGATAGAGCCGCGAATGAAACAGCACTATTTTACGATAAATATAGCCAGAAGATCATTTTGGATATACTAAATTTGTGAGACATTCAAAGCATTAACGCGTTCGTTATTCGATTTTTAAACAATCGAGTTACTAGACAATAAATGAGCACATGGCAATCACCCACTATCCACAGATATATATATATATTTATCCCTATCGGGAAAAGCAAGCTTAGAAAAATAAAGACCAATTACACGAGTTAGTAGGTTACAGTTAAAAAAAATAATTAATTGATCACCTGGCCCATAGACATCTTGAAATTGTTGAATGGGGAACAGTTAAACATGGACCAGATAGACACAAGGTAAACAAAACAATGAATGGAAAATCGAGCTTTTTCAATAAGCTGGCCTTAGTCCCGAAATCGTTCTAACCACCCTTCTCTCATTGGACAACTTGATGATGTCCCATCTCGACTGACTTATCAGTACTGGAAAGTATGTACGTGAAGCCTCGTCGAAAAAGCCTATAGGTTGCATTCCAGTGAAAAAGCGCAAAGATTGACTGCAGTTTTAAAACAAAACTGACGAAATCAGAGAGATTTTAAAAGTAAAAAACCCTTGTCATGCCATAACTCCAATTCAACATTGTCTATCATAATTAGACCTATGTTTGACTTGCAAACTTGAACGCGAGGTTGGCATTTATTGACTACCGTGCAAGCAGAATGCAAAAGTCAAATGAAAAAGCATTTCCCTCAAAAATTTGTGTCTGTAATTTTTTTGTATGTGGAATTTCTGTTAATTGATTGGATTTGCTTGCTTCTATTACAAATTGCACAGTGCTTTATTTTTTATTTTTTTAGTTTTATGATGGGCAATAAAGGAGATGGGAAGTGAAACGGGACAGTAAAATGCAAAAGGCAAAATGAGCATACACAGAGAAGTGCTGTCGCGCATCTACTCCATTAAAGTAGAAACAGAGACATTTGAAGCAGACGATTAATCGTAGTCGTAAGCCCAAAGTCACAAGGAAAATTGCATGAAAGAGTAAAATGGAGAATAAGGCATGGGGAACTTCAGAGAATAATAACAATCACAAGTATGCATAACATCTCTATCATGCCCATTGTTTAGCCACATTTCCTTATTAAAACAAATGATAATGTTGAAAATAGGGGGGGGGGGGTGCGATAGACTGACTTCCACGTGGTGCACCCTGGGCAACGTATTCTCATACGGCAAAATAGTCTATTAACCGGCAGTTGACTTCTGACTTCAAACTACCATCACCCCACTGTATGTCATATTCGATTACTTCACAGTACTCACCTCACCTTTTTCTACCTTCGTCTTTGAAACACTCTTCTGTTCCCCCCCCCCTCCCACCCCGTCTCAAATTGTTTTCACTTTGATGCTCCTCCTCCCCTCCGTGAAGCCTGAAATCAACTAAAGGGCTAATGATAACCATCAAAACGCCTTCCATTTGATATAAATAAATAAATAAATGTTGGAAATAGGTAACGAACGAAAGAGATTGTAATGAACACATTGTCAACTCACCTTGAGCACGACTTTTCTGCACTCATACGGCGAGTCATTGTGAAGACTAATATGACAAGAGAAAGTTTCACCGATGAAGAGAAGTCTGGAAATTCAAAAAAACATTGTTTTATAACTTAAAATATGGTTTTGTAGTAATAAGTTTAATGAATTGACATTATCGAAAGACCAATGTTATAAATTCATTAAGGAAAGTGATTAATTAACTTAATTCAGGTTAGTGGGGGTGTGGCGTGCAGTCTTCCTTATAAAAACTCGCCTTGTAGGAAACAATAAAAAATATCAGATCTGCGCAGAGTTGCAAAGATTTCGTGACATAGACACACAAACTAATGCATCGCCTTTCTCCAATACCATCGATAGCCAAATCGCATAGGTTATTAAATTAAACCAATATTGCATGTTTACCCATTATAGTGTACGTAGAGGATATAAACAATGGCTCTTAACAGATGTCCACTTGCTCAAAAAAATTTCATGATTAAGATAAAATTGTCACTTGAGCATACAATTTAGCGTTCTAACAAAGGAGGAGGTGGAGCAAATAAAACTCCGCGTTCGAACAAACCTAGTGATCCGAAAGGGCTGAATCTCCCATATCATACCCCATCTTCAACAGAAGGGGTGTGCGACAGATTTACCTCCACGTGTTGGCCCTAGGAAACGTATACTCTTACAGCAAACAATGTCTATAGACCGGAAGTTGACTTTAAACAACCATGACCCCACTGGAAGTCATATTCCACCACTTCCCCCGTACCCAACTCACCTTACCTTTTTCTTTACCCCTGGATCTGTCTCTTTTACATCTTCGAATCACTCTTCCGTTCCTCCCTCTCGACTTTTTCACCTTTGACATTCCTCCATTCTATGAAGCCGGAAGTCAACTAGAGGGCCAATGATAACTAACATAAAGCCTGTCATTTGATATAAGTAAATAAATTTTCAACAGAATGTTAACAAAAAGGCGGCAAATTTCCACACCAATACACATTAGGAGAAAAGTAGTCTTATTTTACAGTTGGGGGGGGGGGGGGGGGAAGATACGAAAAAAGTCAATTTCACAAAATTGGCATAAAGTAAAATAAAGAAACATCATTAGATGAATAAAGCCTTAAGAGGTGAGAATTTGATTATCAAATCAACGCTTGTATTACAAAATAATATTATTTTAGTGGGAGGGTGGAAAAAGGGGGGGGGGGTTAGGGAAGTGGGCAATGGAAGACGGTGATCCTCCTTTTTGCAATTTAACTTACTGGAAATAGACTAAAGTGTAAGTAATGTCTAAACTAAAGGTAAAAAATTAGACCTTAATACTGCAGTTTAAAACAGGCAAATTGATTACTCACCGATTGTGGAGTAATTAAATGAGGCATAACATTTATCCAGATTATGCAAAATTATGGCATTTTAGTCCTACTCTACTACACTATTAAATCAATTATTGCAAATATTATAAGCAATTAGATAGGTGGATATTTAAAAAATAAGAGAGGATTGGAAAATATCTAGCGTTGGGAATAAAAATGGAATAATTGTGGCGTATTTGTCGAGAATGGGATTGACTAACATTATTTGTTTACATCAAATGGCAGGCGTTTTAATGGTCATCATTAGCCCTTCAGTTGACTCCGGGCTTCACAGAGGGAAGGATCAACAAAGTGAAAAAAATGAGAGAGGTGAAACAGAAGAGTGCTTCAAAGATGTAAAAGAGACAGACACAAAAGGTAGAAAAACGTGAAGTGAGTACTGTGGAAGTAGTCGAATATGAAATACAGTGGGCTCATGACAGTTTGAAGTTTATAGACTTTTTTGCCGTATGAGTATACGTTGCCCAGAATGCATGAGGTGGTGGTAGTTTGAAGTGAGAAGTCAACTGCCTGTTTATAGACTTTTTTGCCGTATGAGTATACGTTGCCCAGAATGCACCACGTGGAGGAAAGTCTATCGCACACCCCGGATTGACTAAAATTAATTACCACGAGAGGGAGAGAGAGGGTGGACAAGGAATCTACACGTCACAGGCACTCAATGACAAGCAAGGTATACGACCATTTTCCACACACATTTAAAGTAACAGAGCCAATTTTATGCGCTTAGCAAATGCCTTGTCCTTTTAAGCAACTGGGCCCTCCCACTTTTTTCCCAAGTGTGGCTATAGAATATAATTGATTACATTGCCAAGAGGTATCATTATCAGCGGCATCAAAGAATTCTATTACCTACTGAAGGGCTAAAAAACACAGAAGATCTTTAGCCCACGCTTATAAATCACAGATTTGGCAGAAATTAATGAATCGTTATGAAGATTATCCATATAACGCGGTGTGATCGACCATTCGACAAGAATGCAGAAAAAGGCTTTGATCCAGCGACTAAAACACAGAAAAGAACGTCCATTTCAATTACAAACGGTTGAATTCCAAAGATGCCATGCCAATTGGATTACTAACAAGTGAAGAAATTCTGATTTTGCCTAAAATTGCGCTCACATTTTAATATGCTTATTAGAGGTAAAAGTAGTGACATGATTACGGTGGAACGAACTCAACCACGACAAATCAAACTATTAGTCGAGAAAATCAGGTTAACACTGAGTTGGGAGCATTACTCTTGTCAAGTCTCAATCCATTGGTCCCAATTTCTTTATTCTCAAACTTTCACCATGCCATAAACAGTAGATATTAATCGGTGATTGGTGATTCCTAACGATAAGTTCTCCGTCAGGGCATCTAGAGAGACTTCAATTCTGCGTGTGTGTTTACACATAGGTACCTACACAAATGTCAGCAACAAACAAAGACCAGGCGGGACCCAAGTCAAATTAAGAAAAAATAGTGCATAAACCCCGATTCGCTTTCCTACCACCAGAGCACTGAACTAACGGAGCGAGTAAATTTAATTATTCCGTCTACATGGCCAAATCCCTAGCACACACACACACACATCTATCCCACTTCTACGTGCTTGTTGTCGACTCGTTTTGTAATAAAGATCAAAGATTAAAGGCGTGATAGCTTAGCTAAACTCCGAAGTCTTTAAGATAACAGATGGTCAATGATACACCTTTAGTGAGAAAATAAGCTTGTAAATTCACAATTTCAGAGATTCCAATGAATGACTGAAACGCGAATATATATATATATACATCTGTAAATCACTCTTCTGTTCCCCCTCCTGAATTCCTCTCCCCAATGTGAGGCCTGAAGTCAACTAAAGGGCTTATGATAAAATCAATACGCCTGCCATTTGTTATAAATAAAAACAATAAGTGAATGTACAGGTGAAAATATAGATTTCAAAAATGCGTAGAAAAATTAGTTTTAAATAAATGAATTTTGGAATTCGGCTGATAACTTTTTGACTCACTCTCGTATGAATTTCACACCCCCTACCATGGTAATATACGCATATATATTTCACTTATTTCTAAACACAGTCAGTTGGGGAATACCCCAAATTCATTAATTGAGGGAGAGAAAGCGTAATCTTGATTGGCCTGCAACCAATTTTCCCATTTTGTGGGATGAGTGATTTGTACTTTTGCATAATTATTTCAAATTCAAGGAAACATTTCGACAATTATAAACAAATACTATAATTTGAAGGTGGAAAGAGAAGTTTAATTGGAGAGAAGAGAGTGGGGCTAGAGAGAGTTTTTTTCTCTTAAATTTTCTATAAAATGAAAGCCAAATATGTACTCTTAATAAAGAGCTTTAAATTCACTACTAGGGGTCTCAATCAATCACACCACCAAAATGGATGTCATTTACCCTAATATTAATAATAATTAATAGTCTAAAGACTTCTCTTCTTTACCATTATTTCCATCATCTACGCCTTGTCGGAGATGCAATGATTAATTGGCTATCTGGAAATTAGTGCTTTTCTTGAAGTGGGTTATCCACAAACACTGCAAATGTGATAAAAGGGGAGATATGAAATAAAGGACGGAGAGGGGGAGGGGAGGGTGGAGAGAAGACTCTGTACAAACTGGTCGAAACTGTGCGATAGAAAATGATGCCATTTACTACTTTCAAAGGAAATCGCAATGCTTTCCTTTAAAAAAACACCACTGCGTAAAAGAGAGTGTAGAGTGTGATAAAAACATTACACGAAAGAATCGCACACACGCAAACCATTTCCGCCCAGATAAAGCGGACAATATGGAAGCTATAGCACTAATATTAAGCTAATGCAGGTTGCGTGGAATTTAGAAACCCTCGTCACATAACCATTAAGGAGAATGAATGACTGCAACTTTTGATTTGTCGAAGAGTGATATTGAGCCAGAACACAAGTAAAAGATGCAAATCTAGAAGTGTAATAAGCGCATACTCTGATAAGCTGAAACAAGAAAATGGGGAACTTGGAGTGCATTAATCACAGTAGGTATAGCTAGACAGTCCTTCAAAGGATACCATATCTGACCTTTAATCACAACGCTATTTTCACGCACGCAGTTTAGACGCACAGCACAACCCTCCAAACCTCCCTTTCCATGCTCTGCTATAATCCAATACACCCCCAGCTCATCTCACCTCTTGTTGCACTGTTTTTTTAGACCATAAGACCATAAAATTTAAGGAAATGCTTATCTCCAAAACCTAAATCAATAAGAAACTAAAACTACCCCCATTCCAGAGTTGTTTTTAACAAGACCGGATTGAATTCCAATAGCAAGAGTTATATAATAGGCTGGTTTTCTAAAATTATAAATTGAAAGAAAAGCGCGAAAGACAAGACGGAGACATCTGATATTAATGGGTGAAATAACAAGAGGTGATTCTAATGTCGATTGAGCATTCAAGTAGGGATAATGAAGAATAATTCAACAATTAAACTCCAATTAGCATTTTAGAGAGTCAATAAAACTGGTTACTAAGTACCGGACGCTAGGAACTAGGTGGTGGTGGGGAGAGGTGAGGGGAATACCCGAAAAGTGAATATTGAAAAAAACGGAGAAGTAAAGAGTGTGAAGCATTTCTTCCACAAAGACTTTGGTGATTTGGTGTTATTTTTATATCTTCATCGACCTCTACCCTTAATCGCCCCCTCCCCCCTTTTAGGCGGCTTAGCTGTATCATGTGCGTCGGTTTTACCCACGAAACTAGGTAATAATAGTAACAATACTTTATTTATTTCAAACGGCGGGCGTTTTGATGGTTATCATCAGCCCTTAAGTTGACTTCAGACTCACAGAGGAGAATGGATATCAAAATGAAAGAAAGTCGAGATGGGGGAAACGGAAGATTGTTTTTTTCAAGGTGAAGGTAGAAAAAAGGTGAGGTGAGTACTGCGGAAGTCGTCAAATATGACATACAGTGGGATCATGGCAGTTTGAAGTGAGAAGTTAACTGCCGGTCAATAGACTTTTTTGCAGTATGAGTAAACGTTGCCCAGGGTGCACCACGCGGAGGTAAGTCTATCGCACACCCCATAATAAAACTACTAATTCAGCCAGCAAAAAACAAGCCGTTAGGATAATTAGAAAATTTTTAAACCAAGTGGAAGTTGTGACGATAGTCAGGGTACAGCTTGTAGAGTGGAGGGAAAGTTATGGAGGTTACAACAATCAATCTCTTGGAGGATGGCAGTTTACAACTCAACGAGTGTATATTATTAATAATTGTGTGCTCAAAGATTGAAACACCTGATTTGCTCATCAACTTCTCAAATTCTCCGAGTGCTTGTAAACACCATCAAAAAAGCCTAATTCTAGAAGCTAAAATTAAGTAGAATGGCAGTTCATTTTGGAAAATAGAAAACTAACAACAGTCGTTAAGTTGATGCACTGAAAATGACTGTCATTTGGGGGAAAGGTTGTAATGTGACCAGCTTACCACCAGACAAGGCCTAAGTTTTTGAGTTTGGCGACAATTTTGGCTTCAATTAACCTCTCTATCCACCTTGCGTGGAAAACTAAGAATAAATAAATAGATTCGTAATATTTTCCTAAGAGGCCAAACAAGTGGAAGATAGTTGCATCGTGCAGTTATGACAAATAAAGCCAAAATAATTCCTAATGGTGATCACTTCATTCACTCAGACATCCAACGGAGAACTCTGCTGGAATAAACAAGTAGAAATAGACAATCAATTTGGTCCAGGTCTAGCAACTTGAGTGCCAGTATTTGAATCGAGAGATAATGGCCAATAATGGTGGAATAGCATATTTCATTAAAGCCACATTATTATATAATATTTGTGCAGTGGTTAAGATGATCGTGTGGGAAATTGGAGATCACGATGACCTAATCCAACAACTTCAAGCAAAATGAGTAGTGGAAGGTTCCAGTATGAAGAAAAGTGGGTGCTTATTGATAAAATCAGATAGTCAGGTCAGCCGATTCATAGAATAGTAATTTCAGGATCGGTTTCGTACAATGGCTTCCAGTTAGCAGAGAAAATTAGCTCTCTGTTAATTCCTCCTAACACAGTACATTTTAGAGGTCTGCATAAAAATAGCCCCATAATGTCAGACTTTGCAACCGCCTAGAGGATGCTTAAAGTACCTTGGACAAGGCAATATTTTACCATCGCCATTTTGCATTTTAAAAAAAAGTCCCATACTAAATGTACCGACTTAGAAGATAGAGATTTGAAGCCTATCGTCGAATTATCGATTCACCTAGGACAACGCTTCATTAACAAACGTGATATGAAAGGCATGTAAGTGAATACAGAAGGCGATACCAGTTGCATCACTGAAAAGCCATGTTTTCGCTCAATATACTGAGCATTAGATCGTATCGGAACGTTAAATGTGCTTGTCAATGAAATCCGAGGTCAAAGGTCGAATGTCCAGCTCCACAAGTTAAGATAGAGAAATAAAAGAGATAGTAGAATTCGAGTTTCCCACCAGAAGGTGCTAAATTATGGTACTTCTTGTCCCAAGACGAGGGTTGAATAAAAAGGCAATTAGAAACTCTGATTTCAATGGACATATAATTTGATTCCGGGACAAACTGATGAGTCAATAGGCACCACTACATTACAAAAATCCAAAGGCCTGCTTAATATCTCGAACTGCACAATGAGTAGAACTGCAAAAGACCAAGCATCTGATACCTGGTCCCAGATAGAACACGCGCTAATAAGAAAAGACCTACCCAAAATTTTGTGAAAGAGCCAGAAGATCACTAGGTCCGCCAAGTTCCAGTTGACTCTCTGGAAGGTGTCCAAAAAGACCTTGACGATTTGCCAGGTGGGTTTTGGCCCAGGCACCGGCTTGGGTGTCAACCAGTGGCTCGGCCACTAGAGGCGCCAGTGGGACGAAGGAGGGCCGACTAAGTCGGCGTGCTGTAGAAATAAGAAAGGCAACATTGGATGAAATCGCAAATGCAATAAGGTAGCATTCAAGTGTGGCCAATAAGGACGTTGATAAATGTCTAGAGATATTGAAAAACCTTACTCTTGCAACGTAATAAATTAAAATACAGAACTGATAAATTTGTAATTGATGGCAGTGGGAAAAACGGTGTTGGAATCAAAATTAGGAAAAGTCTTTGTTACCAACTATTTTTTTGGTGGGGAGGGGGGGGGGGGATAGGCACTTCGTGTTCTAGAAATACTCCGCCTCTTTTCATCACAACTCCTTGAGTATTCCTGTTCGAAAAATGTTGCGAGNTTTTTTTTTGGGGGGGGGGGGGGGGGGGTATAGGCACTTCGTGTTCTAGAAATACTCCGCCTCTTTTCATCACAACTCCTTGAGTATTCCTGTTCGAAAAATGTTGCGAGGAATCGAACTGATTGTTTAGTTCTGTGAAATAAGGAATTTTCTATCTGAGGGTAGCTAGAATATTATTGTTTCAGATTGCGTTTTATTAATAATTCAGGGAGTTAGCTGAGTCTCAAAAATATCCTTCTTCCAACTCCATTACCTTCACCCCCCCCCCTCCACTAGAAGGCTTTCAATTGTTGATTAGGGGTGAGTTTTAATTGGAACACAATTGAATCCGAAGTGAATAGACAAAAGATATTAAAAAGAACCGAAGTAATAGTAAAATGCAAGTTGAGAGAATGCACCTGAATTTAGATAGACCTCTTGAATCGACTAAATATAGGTCACTTCGTGGAAACACAGAGGAATAACAATAAATAGTCAAGTGATAGCCTTGCAGCGAAACAGGAGATACATAAACAGTTGAATTCTACCGTAAGGTAATCGGTAGTTTTACTTAGAATTTGGGCCATTGAAGTTATCAACCGCATCACATGAATACCAAATTTGAGGATGTAGAAAAGGTTACTTGATTCCTGACAAATGCGATTCAGGGAAATCAGCACCTGTCAATTATCCCAATATCAATGATTTATTCCTTTGTTTTTATTTTTCCATCAAATTCCACTCAGAATAGCATGCGATAAATAACTTTCCACCACTCTCTGAGAAAGACCATATACTAACCGAAATTCAAAGTACTAACTACCTAAAAATTTAAGCTTTACATTTACAAATCGCATGATTCGAAAATGTCCCCGATCTGGAGAATTGGGAAGCGGTTTCCTGATCGAAGTAGGTATTGATTACCTTAGAGTGTCAATGCGATATGATTAGATACCTAGAGATGACTTAGTATGCTGTTTTTATACTAATTGGGTAAAGCCTTTTGCCAGACTGAGACAAGAACCAGTAATATTATACCAAATGGCAGGCTTTATGATATTTATCAATAGCCCCTTAGCCAGTAATATTATTTATGTATATCAAATGGCAGGCTTTATGATAGTTATCATTAGCCCTTTAGTTGATTTCAGACTTCACAGAGGGAGAGGAACATCAAATCGAAAAAATTCGAGAAGGGAGGGGGGGGGGGAACAGAAGAGTTTTTTAAAGATGTAAAAGAGGCAGACACAAAGGTAGATGAAAGGTGAGGTGAGTACTGTGGAAGTGGTCGAATATGACATACAGTGGGGTCATGATAGCTTGAACTCAGAAGTCAACTACCGGTTTATAGACCTTTTTGCCGCATGAGTATACGTTGCCCAGGGTGAACCACGTGGATGTAAGTATATCGCACACCCCTAGCCAGTAATATAGAAATGGCTGAATAAACGGAAGAACTGCAATTGAAATTTTGCCTAGTAAAAACACATTTCTGTTTATATTTTTTCATAAGCATCAAAATATTTCCATTCCACTTCCACAGATGCAATAATCCCCACAAATGAGCACAATCTGATCATTTTCCGATTGGATAAGCATTGTTCCCCAAACTAATAACCTAACAAGCCAATAGAGAAGCGCAAAGGACGAGAAAGATGGGTCTGAGATGCACTCGAATGTTCCATGCTACATTTTAGAGGGTAGTGACCATTGTAGTAAGAAAGGCTTTGTCTATAAACTTTGTAACTTTAAAGACTCCTGGTCAATCTTTCCATCATATAGATTTCGATACTCCAACCCTTCCATATTAACATATTTATTTATTTATTTCAAATGGCAGGCGTTATGATAGGTATCATTAGCCCTTTAGTTGACTTCAGGCTTCACAGAAAGGAAAATGAACAGCATCAATTTACAAATCGTAATTAGAGCTTAGTTAGACACCACATGATTCAATGGATAATTACCGTGTTACTTACCTGGTGTCCAAACAACGCTATTCAACGCTGTTTACGCTAAAACTCAAATGCAATCAGTGCTTCTTCTCCACCCTCCCGCCTTGCATCTTCCAAAGGGGGAAATGTCAAATGAACACACATTTATTAACAATCAATTGTCAAGTAAAATCAATCTGCAACACTTTCCCCCCCCCCATTTGTGTGTCCAGTAAGAAGGACAGCACAATTAATCAACCAAAGGAGGTGAGAGTGAAACACACCAAATGCGAAAAGGCAGAAAAAATTAACAGAAATGCGCATTAGAAAATGGCTTAAGACGAAGAGGGCAAAGAAATAGGCAATAAACGGGAGTAAGGAGGAACTTTTGCATCCCAATTTGGCTAAAAGAAGAAATAGCACTCGAGTCCCCGCGGTTAACTCCAAAATTAAGAGCACAGGCCAGGCGAATAAATGGTTAACAATTTTATTGCTAAATAGGACACGAATTAAAGTGGGATTAACTGTGCCTTTCTAAAATTGCACACTTAATAATAATAATAATAATAATAACGCACCGACTAAGTTGAATTAAAACGATATAACATTTGTTAGCCACAGATATTCTCCAACTTCCCACGAAAAGATGATTAGGTATTGTCATTCTGTATGCGAAATAGAATTTAATGTTGGCACTGATGTTCAATACCATAATGAATGTCAAAATAACCTCAGTTCCATAAATAATGAAATAAGAAATGTCGGAAGTAAGGACAATTTTACCAAGTAGTTCTCAATTTTGACTGGTCTTTGAGTCATAATTGGATGAATATTGGATATTGATTTAGTAGTAAATAAACATTAAGAATTGAGGAAAATTTCCAAGTTGGTAAAGTAACGGATACTTCAGTACTTCCAGAATGAGAGAACTAGACATAACAAAATATTGTTTCCGGTTTGAAAGGAAACGTATTCTCCAACTACCAAATTGAGGCACTTATTAATAATGAAAAAGAAAGAACTCCGATCATTTCCAATAATTCATTAAAAATTCAAAAAGACGATGTAGAGTGATTGCCATTAAATACAACTGCAAAAATACGCTTCCTCGAGACAACTACTGAATATCTGCGCATCTAAGTGACCGCAAGTAGACAGAAGAGAAAAAATAGCTCTGACTGATAGCAATTTTCAAAAATTATAGAAAAAAATAAAACAATAATGCGTTATGGAACCTCTTGAAAGCCGGAGTAAATATTCAGGTGTATTTATTTATTTCAAATGGCAGGCGTTTCGATAGTTATCATTAGCCTTTAGCTGACTTCGCACTTCACAGAGGGGAGGAACATCAAAGTGTGACAAATTCGGGAGGGAAAGCAGAAGAGTGATTCAAGGATGCAAAAGAGACAGACAGACACAAAGGTAGAGAAAAAGTAAGATGAGTACTGTGAAAGGGGTCAAATATGACATACAGTGGGGTGATGGTAGATTGAAGTGAGAAATCAACTGCCAATTAATAGACTTTTTTGCCGTATGAGTACACGTTGCCCAGGGTGCACCGCGTGGAGGTAAGTCTATCTAAATTCAGGTGTAAACAAGGCTAAAAGGCCGTTAAATGACCAACCAAATGTCCAACTCAGCAAAAAATTTTTGGCAGAAATCAATCAGTTCATCGACCGATGGATTAGACCCTCCTTAACCTTGGATGGTTGAAGCGTGAAATGAGAAGAATTGGCTTCAAGTGAACTGTATATATATATATATATATATATATATATATACAGTTCACTTGAAGAATTACCTCCACGTGGCGCACCCTGGGCAACGTATACTCATGCGGCAAAAGTCTATTAACCGGGAGTTAACTTCTGACTTCAAATTTCTATGGGCCGACTATTTGTCCTATTCGACTTCTTCCGCAGTACTCATCTTACCTGTTTTATGCCTTTGTTTCTGTCTGTCTGTCTCTTTTACACCTGTGTATCACTATTCTGTCCCCCCTCTCGACTTTTTGTCACTTTGATGTTCCTCCTCCTCTCTGTACAGCCTCAAAGTCAGCTCCAGGGCTAATGATAGCTGTCAAAACGCCTGCCATTTGATATAAATAAATAATATATATATATATATATATATATATATATGTATTGATTGTATTGGTAGCTTATTTACGGAATTACAACTTGTTGACATTCATTGATAAAACTTCATTATAGCCTTCAAAGTAGCATCATGAAACAAAATAGCATGCATCAATTGGAAGACACACATTGTAAAGGTGTTAAGGCAATAACAACCTCAAATAATGAAAAGAATTTGAGAAAAAAATATTTTAAAGCGGCATAATTGTGAATACAATACAATAATTGACAAGTAGCGTGATCCCTGCCTAAAAGATGCATTTTCCCTATTCTCCAGAATTAAAAAGTGACTTTACACATGCAAACAGTTTAAATATGGAGTGAAAGTGAGTGAATTAAGCGGAAGTTGAGGGGGGAAAAAGTGGGAGTACCAAAAGTGCTCCATTTCATTTGGTTGACGGATTCAGCATGTGCACTCTCCTCCTCCACCTTCTACGTCATGTCCTACTTCTGCTTAATTCAAGATTAGTTCGCTGCACACCTGAAATAAGAGCTGATTGGGCGGAGGGGTTACACTACGTTTCAATTCGATTTTTTCCCTAATACCCAAAATCCCCAGGCGATATATATGTATATATATATATATATATTCAGCTAAAACGTCAATTAGGGCAGTTCATTACTTGAGCATTAGCAGAAGACCCGCAGGCAAAAAATTCGCAGCAGCCCTAAACAATAAAGGAGATATTAATGGAGGGGGGGAGAATGACACATTTTTTGGCTTAATGGCATCGAGGGAGGCTGATGTCTGGCAAATAGTCACTCTCCAACTTGCAGAGAAAAAACGAAGCGGAAGGGGGGAAATCGACTGAATCTCAAAAAAACGAATAAATGCGCGCACACCAAAGGTGTCTTGATTAAGAGGCATTGGAGGGAAAAATGAAGCCAAATTGCGAGGATATAGTGAATCTCTTTGCGAAAACAGCTGGCATAAACCTGTTAGGAAAAGGGTGCAATGAACAGAAAATCTAGACATGATATGAAGAATCCTGCTAGAGCAAGAAGGGGATTTGGGGAAGCCTATGAATTACATAAAACGATCTTTGCAAACTAATATTCAAACTTGCGGTGTGCAATAGACTCACCTATACGTGATGCACCCTGAGAAGCAGAAATTCCACAGACGGCTCGCATGAATGATGGAGATCTTGTATGACCGAACTTATAGAAAGTAATTACCGCAACTTTTTGATGCATATACTTTTGCGCATTAATCACGAATAATCTCATACTTCCAGTTTTGTAAAGTAGTCTCTTATTATAACCAGTATTCACGACTAAACTTACTTCTTTTAGTTCACGAACATAGGGTGTGCGAGACTTATCTCCACGTGGTGCAAATTTGGGCAACGTATACTCATACCCCCAAAGTCTATAAACCGGCATTTGACTTCTCACTTCTAACTACCATCACCCGACTGTATGTAAATTTCTACCCCTTTCACAGTACTCACCTTAACCTACCTTTTCTCTACTTTTGCATCTGCCTGTCTCTTTTACATCTGTGAATCACACTTCTGTTACCCTTATCGGCTTTTTGCAACTTTAATGTCCCTCCCCTCCCCCCTCCTCTCTAAAGCCCGAAGTCAACTAAAGGCCAAATGATAACTAGCATAAAGCCTGGCATTTGATAGAAATGTAAAAAAAATTATTTTCGTTGCTTTACTAAAGGTTGAATTCTGTAGGGATTTTTCCTTTTGCCTCGCAGAATGTTAACAAGATTGGGGTGTGCGATAGACCTACCTCCACGTGGTGCACCCCGGGCAACATATACTCATACGACAAAAGGTCTATTAACCGGCAATTGACTTCCCACTTCAAACTACCATGACATCACTGTATGTCATATTCGACCACTTTCACAGCACTAATCTTACCCTTTCTCTACCTTTGTGTCTATCTCTTTTACATCTTTAAACACTCTTCTGTCCCCACACCATCTCGACTTTTTCCCCTTTGATGTTCCTTCCCCTCTGTGAAGCCTGAAATCAACTAGAGCCAATGATAACCATCAAAACGCTTGCCATTTGTTATAAATAAATAAATGTTAATAAGATTGAACCCCATTAATGCTGGCTCAACTGCCAACTCTCTCTCTCTCTGCCTCTCTTTGCAAACAATTCAATAAACTTGATGGAAGACAAATTAATGCAATCTAGCTTTAAGCAAAGCCAATAATGAAAAAAACTTTGACGCTAGAGTTATGGGAGTGGCATCACCGCCCAATCGCAAAATCAATTCAATTTTAGAACCTGCGCTTAAGTTAGTTGTATTAAATTAAGAAATGACACCAAAAAATAGTTGGCGCTACAATAAGGTGTCAAACCACCTATTTCAAAGCTATAAGACCCAACCAAATTTAATTGAAGAGACCTCGAATTTTACTTCCTTCCTCTAATGAACCTAATAGGTGTGTCGACTCTCTACCTCTATTTTAACCAGAATGAATGAATAAATTTATTTATATCAGAGGGCAGGCTTTATGATAGTTATCATCAGCTCTTTAGTTGACTTCAGGCTTCACAGAGGGAGAGGGACTTCAAATCAAAAAAAGTCGAGAAGGGGGGGGGGTGAACAGAAGAGTGTTTTAAAGATGTAAAAGAGACAGATACA